AGGAGCTAGCCCACCTGAAACAGATCCTCCCATTTTCTTGGTCACAGCACCATATTCCTTTTTTGGGAATCAAACTGACCCCCAACCTATCAGACCTTTATGCAGCTAACTATACTCCCATGCTAACTCATCTCACTGCTCTTATGACTAAATGGTCCTCCTTACCTCTAGCATGGCTAGGCAGAATAGCAGTCATAAAGATGTCAATCCTCCCAAAAATCCTATATTTATTTAGAGTACTCCCAATTCCAGTACCTTCCCATTATCTTCGTGTATTACAGCGCCGCATTTCCTCCTACGTATGGGGCACTGTCCGCCCCCGTATACCCCGTTCTACCCTTTACCGTACCAAGCTAAGCGGCGGTCTTGGTCTTCCTGATGTCAATAAATATTACCAGGCGGCGCATCTAGCTCAGTTGCCGAAATACCATGCAACCTATGAAATTCCACAATGGGTTGTTCTTGAATCTATAGCATGTGACCCCCTCTCCACGGCTAATTTACTTTGGCTAAGACCAATCGACCGCCGCTCAATAACAAATCCCATCACTTCCCACTTTCTATCATTGTGGGATAAACTGAAAACTCGTTACCTTCTCCAATCGCCACATAACCCTTTACTTTCGTATCTCAAGAACCCAGCCTTTCCCCCAGCATGGTCATCGCCAACCTCCTTTAAATTATGGACCTCTACGAACCTTCTCCGCACTCATCATTTCCTACAGAGAAACAAATTCAAATCCTTCACCTCATTACAGGAAACACATAACCTCCCAGCATCTGAAATATTCAGGTATTTACAATTACAACACTTTTATGGCCCCTACTCTGCGATATCTACCCAAACTAACACCATGTCCCCCTTTGAGCGGGCCTGCCATAAAGACCCCCATAGACGCGGCCTCATTTCATGCCTGTATGCTATACTCACAACTTCGGCCACCATATCCCCCCCTTCATATATCAACAGATGGGAAACAGACCTAAACCAACAATTAGACCCGTCAGACTGGGACCACATCTGGGCCAACACAAAAACGTCTTCGCAGAATATTGTTGCCTTGGAAACCAACTATAAAGTTCTAACACGATGGTACTTGGTTCCGGCGAGAATCGCAAAATACACCCCCAATTACTCCCCTAACTGCTTTAGAGGCTGTGTAGACCCGGGAACGCATTATCACATTTGGTGGGACTGCCCAATAGCCCAAACATTCTGGACGGACGTCTTTAACATGTTCACCAAATTTAGTGCAGCCCCGCTTCACCCATCCCCTACAATAGCACTTCTCAATCTACGCCCTCCTGGCGTAACTACGTCGCAATTCAAACTCATCCTACAAATTACCACTGCAGCCAAACAGGTTATTGCAAAATCCTGGAAATCCCCCACTTTAGGCATTGCTGCAGTTAAAACTAGAGTAACACAAGCCATGATACACGCAAAGGTGGAAGCCACAATCCTTGACGCAATTCCTAAGTTCCTAAATGTCTGGAATCCTTGGGTAGAAGGCTTCCTCCCGCAGAACTTTGATGAATCGCTCCTTCTTCCCTGATGTGCAAACCGTGCATTCTTAGCATTAGTATGGCACCACTGTGAACCGAACACACAAAACGCTACCCCTTTCCCTTCCAACCATGGAGTCACTTTCGTTACCCCTCTCTCACCCCCCCCCCCCCCCTCAGTCCCCCTCTGTTCACCCCTAACTCCCCAAGCAACTCTGGAGAGTCCTCATCCCCATCGTTTAATGTCTGTGTGATATGCTACTACTTTTTGACAAGAATTTTCACTCACTTGGCATTATAGGTTGTACTGCTTTGTTTTATTGACTCTCCCTTGATATATAATGCAATTGACACTGAATATATTTTTCCCCCGCACTTTACTGTTGATATAATGTCTATTGCCTACTGTCAATGTATTCCTTCCTATGTTATAATACCAATAAAAAGTTTGAACAAGAATTAAAAAAAACCCCACAAATTTCATTGTAAACAATTTTAGTCTATATTTTGTGGCCATGAAATGTTGGTGTTATGCCCAAAAATGTAAGGCTTAAATTACACTGGCAGTTGAAGGGTGGTTAAAGTAGGCAGTTGATGCCTTTTCACCGCCCCCCTTTAAGCTGCAAACGCAGCCACATGGGAATGCGTACATTCCATGGACCTGATGCTTTACATTGCAATGTTTCAATGCTTTGCGGAGCCACAAAAATTATTATCACCCCATTGCATTTGGTGGACAGTACTGACACCAACCATGACATAGGCAAGTGAATGTGCACTGTGTGCTCAGTTATTAGTCAAGTGAGTTTTTTTTTATCAAATCATTATTTTTATGCATATTGTCTGACTCCAAACTATATAAACTTGAATGCTTATTGGATTTAAGCATATCAGGTGATGTGTATTTTTGTAATGAGGGAGGGTGTGGCCTAAGAAGTTCAAACCACTTTATCAAGGTGTGCATAATTTTTAGGCAGCTTCTTTTTCTCAGGCAAAATGGCCCAAAAAGGAGATTTAACTGACTCCGAAAAGTCAAAAATTCTAAAAAGTCTTTCAGAGAGATGCAGCACTCTTCAAATTACTAAGATATTGGGGCGTGATCACAGAACCATCTATGCATTGATGCTAATAGTCAACAGGGTTGCAAGAAACGTGTTGAGAAAAAGAAGGCGCAAATTAATTGCCAAAGATTTGAGAGGAATCAAACTTGAAGCTACCAGGAACCCATTATCCTCCAGTGCTGTCATATTCCAGAACTGCAACCTACATGGAGTGCCCAGAAGTACAAGGTGTTCAGTGTGAAGAGACATGGCCAAGGTAAGGAAGACTGAAACCCGACCACTGAAGAAGACACATAAGTTGAAACGTCAAGCCTGGGCCAAGCAATATCTGAAGAAAGGTTTTTCAAAGGTTTTATGGACTGATGAGATGCAAGTGATTCTTGATGGACCAGATGGATAGGCCTGTGGCTGGATCAGTAATGGACACAGAGCTCCACTTCGACTCAGGCGCCACCAAGGTGGAGTTGGGGTTCTGGTTTGGGCTAGTATTATTACTGTAATTATACCAGCTCATACCAGAACGCACCATTTTAAATCTTGATATGTCTGGTATTTGTTTACATGACACAACATCATCTTTCTATTTTACTTTAAAAATGGGAATTATATTGTTTCTGTGCACTAAAACTCATTTTAGTGCATTTTTTCCTAAAAAATTATATTTGATAAAAGGCTGTGAAAATATCATGTGACATAAAAATTGCCACCATTTTATTCTCTGGGGCCTCTGCTTTCAGAAAATATATAATTGTTGGGGATTCTAAGTAATTTTCTGCAAAAAAATACTGATTTTTAACTTGCGTGAAAAATTTAAATATTGTCCCAGAAAGCAAGTGGTTAAAGATTGTAAGCATAGAGCTCCATAGCCAGCAAGTAGAATTCTTTTTTTCACTTTTGATGTCTACCGGGCCATTTTCTTTTTAGTTACTGCAACATTATCCAAATAGTGTTTTTTTTTTTTTTTTTTTTTTATATAGATTCTTTATTCCAGAGGAAATAATCCAAGATGTAGAGATGTATAACAGATTACAAACATACAGAACAGTATATCATGAGGTATCATTACAGAATAAGCTATACGTGACACAAACATAACCATCTTTCCTCTCAAGTTACCTTATTTAATCATTTGAAAGGTCCACAAATTACCTTAGAAGAGAGAGCAAAGCTGAAGTGGGGAGAAAGCAGGAGGAGGGAAGAGGGTAGGGTTGCAACCTCAACCTTTAAAACAGAACACATATTAATTATACAGGTTGTGTGGCTAATTAAGGTGGTAATTAAACTCACTTAATGCCTTATCTGCATTAAATTAGCCTCAGAACCTGTGTAATTGTCTTTGTCTTTGGTTTTAAAGGGATGAGATGGCAACTCTAGAAGAGGGGGAAAGGGAGGATGCTGGAGAGAGGGCCAGTAGGATTCCACGAGTAAGGAGTAGAACTGGCCAGTGGGGGAAAGGGGGTTGAAGAGGCTCATTGGGACACCCCCTTTCCTATCATTGTCTTAGCAACCAGCTTAGTATATACTGGGAAATAATAGGACTTAATGTGGAGTCTTCAGTGACAACGTTAATAGAATATGGTGTTTGTAAAAGATTAAAGTTCTCCTGGTTTTCCAGTATCTTCTCACTCCAAAATGAAAAAAAATGTCCAGACTGGAGGGCACTTGCTTGAACAAGGTAACTTTTACTGAATTTGATGCATCAAATCTGCAACTTTGCTAGATTATGATAATCTAATTGTTAGGGATCTGGGTGTGACCAGAGATGTGTGGACTGACACAGGGAAGTAGCAGGCTTCAGGAACACAGGCGTAGTCAGGGCTGGAGAGGTGGAATGGTCAGGCAGGCTGTTAGGTACCTCAGGCACCTACCCGGCGCGGGATCTCTAGTACCCACAGAACGGGATTCCCCAGGGCGCGGAGTCTAAGCCCCAGTCTTCCTTTTCACCAGAGCCCCTGATGGTGGGGATGGACTTGGCGCAGGACTGAGACCAGGTCGCGGCCCCTGAGTGCACCCAACTGTGGTAGAGGGGTCCGCCAAGGGTATGTACTGTGGGAAAGCCTGACGTGAAGAGGCTGGCAGACCTGGTAACAGGGACAGATCCGTGCGCGATGGATGGATGTATCGTCTGGGTAGCGTCAGGCGTAGTCAGGCAGGCCAGGTCAGCAACGTGCTGGCAGCGATGTACCGGAGGAGCAGGCAGAGAATAGTCAGGGTCACAAGCTGGTTCAGTAACTCACGGGCAGCGCGGTACAGATCAGGCACAAGGATGGTCAGGCAAGCCAGGGATCAAGCAGAGGAAGTCAGCAGAGGTCAGGATCAGGCAGGGTCGGCAACAAATCAGATAGTCAGCAGAACAGGATACCAGGTACAGGGGCTCATGGGAAACAATACACCACGGCAATAACTGCAGGTCTGGCCATTCCTTAAATACACCTCCTGCAATCAGCTTTAGGTGATGGCTGACTGCAGGAGCGAGCTTCTGGTTGCTGAGAGCACCCGCTGGCCAGCCATGGTACTGCAGCCCACACAGGCAGGTGAGTCCCACCACCAGTGCTGAGTCCATTCCTGACACTAATACTGTTCCGACACACAGGCAAACATCTTGACAATGGCTCTCTTAGGAAAAACATGTTGCCCTCCATTATTACTGAAAATAAAATCTATTTACGTTCTTCTACATTTTATCTGACTATAACTGATCTCAATCCCCACTGCAAATGGGGAGGGGGCAGGGGAAACTCGGGCACTGCCCAAGGGCCCGGGTCAGTAGGGGGCCCCATGAGATGCTCCTGGTACCCTTTTCATAGGCTTTTTTGAGTTTGGGCAAGGACACAGGGACCCCATGATCCCCTATTACCCGGGGGCCCCATGAGTTGTCAGTCCGCCCCTGGGGGGGGACAGGTCGACCAAAAGGGAAACCCTTTACAGTCCTAACTCACATGGTGACACTGAGGGGCTGATTTATTAAAGGCATATAGACTGTGCATTTTGCAAATTCAGTTGCTCCAGAGCTTAGTACAGGAGCAGAAGCTCTGTTGTCGAGCACCATCCATTATTTTTTTTCATTTTCCCTGCACGTGATTGGGTACTCTTTCCAAAGTGAAGCTAAACTTGGGAGCAACTGCACTTTGCAAAGTTCACAATCTATTTGCCTTTCCACTGACTCTGCTCCTTTCACTATTTTTGCACTCAGTGTCAAAGCCAAGACTGATAGAAATGTTGTCAGGCACCCTGTGGGTGGGATATCAATTGAAAAGGCCCTACGTCCTTTTTTACTGATCTCAGGGATGGCAGATGTCCTTTCAGCATGATACCAGTGTATACCTAAGGTGCGGTTACACACCAAGCTATAGAACTGTGTGCTGACTGACGGCAATAGTATTCCTGTTTGCTATCTCCCTCTGGGGGATATGTGATACACGTGGTTCACTTACCAATTTATGTGGGAGTGACAAAGTGACTGGTTGATTCAACTATATTTTGAAATCCCAACTGTGAAGCTCAATATGTTATATAATATTCTACATGAGTCATGCTATAGGAACTGACGCCTTCTTTTTTGGAACACATATGGATGAACCATAAGTCTTTACATTATTATATTACAATATGGATTATGCTAGCTGATTAATTTCAGCCTACTGCATTCTATACAACGTATAACCAAGGATAGAGGATCAATGTGCATTTTGCTTTATTGGACATAACAGCTTGTGAATCAGTGTTATTGAATAGAATACATCCCACGGTATATATATGTAGATATCTGCATTGGGGACTGTGTCAGTCTTTTGATTTAGCTATAGCTTTTTTGAGTTAACAAGCTTATGTTGTGTGCCATTGGACGGCTTAACCCCTTGCCTACCGGGCACTTATACCCCCTTCTTTACCAGGCCAATTTTCAGCTTTCAGCGCTGTCGCACTTTGACAATTGCGCGGTTATGCAAGATTGTACCCATATGAAATTTTTATCATTTTTCTCACAAATAGAGCTTTCTTTTGGTGGTATTTAATCGCCGCTGGGTGCTTTACTTTTTGCGCTATAAACAAAAAAAGTGCACAAAATTTGAAAAAAAAATTTTTTTTTCTTTGTTTCTATTATAACATTTTTCAAACAAGTAATTTTTCTCCTTCACTGATGTGCGTTGATGAGGCAGCACTGATAGGCAGCACTGATAGGCGGCACTGAAGGCACTGATAGGCGGCACTATAGGCAGCACTAATAGGCAGCACTAATAAGGTGGCACGGATAGGCGGCACTGATAGGCAGCACTAATGAGCTGTCATGGATAGGCGTCACTGATAGGCGTCACTGATGATGATACTGATAGACAGCACTGACTGGTGGCACTGCTAGGCATTGACTGGTGCAACTGCTGGGCACTGACTGGCACAACCGCTGGGCACTGACTGGTGGCACTGACTGGCAGCACTGCATTGATGGGCACTGGTGGGTGGCACTGGTGGGCACGGGTGGGTGGCACTGGTGGACACAGGTGGGTGGCACTGCTGGGCACAGGTAGGTGGTACTGCTGGGTGGCACTGCTGGGCATAGGTGGGTGCACTGCTGGACACAGGTGGGCGGAACTGGTGGGTGGCACTGCTGGGCACCGATTATTAGGGCACTGATCATCAGTGCCCTGATGATCGGTGCCGATCCCTGCTCTGACAACTGCCGGTTCTCGGCAGCACTTTCCTCACGCTCTGACAGCGTAAGGAAAGTGCAGCCGAGAACCAGCAATTGCATTTCCATCATTGGACGCAGCTGATCACGTGGTAAAAGGTCGCTGTGTTTGGCCTTTTACCATATCACGTGATCAGCTGTGTCCGTAGGACACAGCGATCATGGAGATCGAGGGGTGCGCGTCATATGACGCCCTCCGAGAACTAGCCGACCACAGTGTAGCCGTCATTCGGCTATCTGCGGTTGGCAAGTAGTTAATTACTGTTACATGAGTTTGTGTGGGTGAGGATGTGTGCTTGGACAACAGTGTCACACAATTTTTTGGGTTAGGATGGTATGTGTTTAATATATTTATCATTGTAATAAGACATGTGTATCCTAAAAGACGTAGACTTTTATATTTCAGGAGTAACTCTTGAAGTGGTATCCATTTTCAATATCTCTTGTTGTTATAGCAAATGATGGGAACCTATCCAAAAAGATATGGGATAAAAACCTCAGTTATTAAATCTAGGGAGCCTGTATTTTTTGGTTTTATATGCACTCCCATGTTTCTACCCTATTAGCATAATTAGAAAAATAAACTGGGGCCTTGGCTAGCATGCCTTCATACAAAATCCCTTTAAAGCAAACCCATTCTTTATTCTATGCAGGACAATGCAACAGATTTGATTTAAAGGATAAGTTCACCTTCTAGACAAAAATAATGAATACACATTGTTTTTGTACGTAAAAAATGTGCATTTATTATTTTTGTCTAAAAAGGGGAACTTATCTTTTTAACCAAACTTGTTACATTGTCCTGCATGGAATAAAGATTGGTTTCGCTTTAAAGGGATTTTGTATGAAGGCATGCTAGCCAAGGCAGCTCGGCCATGGAAGCCCATTCCATGAACTTCTCTATGCTCTGTTGTTGTACTAATCTGAAGGCCCCACAAAGTTTGAAGGTCTTTAGCTATTGACTCTGTAGACATCTGGCAACTTCTGCGCACTGTGCGCTTCAGCATGCGCTGACCCCACTTTGCCATTTTACGTGGTCCACCACTTTGTATCTGAGTTGCTGCTGTTCCCAGTTGCTTCCACTTTGTTATAATACCACTAACAGTTGACCATGGACTATTTGGCAGCAAGGAAATGTTCATCTGCAGGAGCCTGGAAAGCACTGCAACAGCGATCAGTAGATGTACTGGATGTACAGTCAAGCAGATATTCTGACAGGAAGCTTCATTGTGCTCTCCACAATGCTGTGGTAGTTCATTGAAAACTACAAGCCCACAGCTTCTAAGGCTGTCGGTTCTTGCAGTTCATTCAGTCGTGGAAGTCCGTGAATGAATGATGCGGCCTGTGAGCAGAGCCCCACACAACCGCGTTGTTTTCAAATTTGACAGATAGTACCGGGGGGCAGCAGCTGCGGCTACGGGAACATGTTACATGTTTCACCCTAAAATGGGTGGAACATGTAACATGTTCCCAAAGGTGAACTTATAGTTAATGCTCACCTACCCAGCACATACAAACCTTTCTCTTATTACCCATGTCTGGCTATTGGGGAGCATGTTACTCTCTCATGTGAAACTGTCAGGATGGCTTTAGGAGAATATGTGTATTTGCTTCAATACACAGAACAAAGATCTTTGCCAGCAGGTTGTGTGGGCATTATCCTTTGCACATGAAGACACACGGACATGTTGCATAAATGTCTGCATACTGGCGCATTGGCATGCATGTCTATATCCAGACTTGGCCCCAGATGGCCTATTTAAACTTGTGGACTGCCTTCCCACACAGGCACATCCACTTACCTGTACGTTTCTGGCCTGTTCCGGATACAGGGCAAGCACGCCCCTGCCCGGTGACTTCCTCTGCGATTATACATAGTGGGAGTTTGTAAACAGGTCCTAGCTAATGATTCATAGCCGGGGCCTGCTGATCGGCTGTGTCCAATCACAACCCAGAGCCCTGTGTTGACAATCAACACAGAGGTCGGTACAGAGGAAATGATATCTCATCACTTCCGCCTTTAACCAGGTACATGTTTACAACAAGAGAAACTTGAAGCTTATACAGGGCTCCCTTGCCTTGCTTAAAGTGCCTGCATTGAGTTTTGAGGGAGTGAAGGAAATGTGAGCATGTGCTACAAGGGGGAGGGGTTTAAAGCAAATTGCTTATCAGTATAAGCCAGTGTTTCTCAACTCCAGTCCTCATGGACCCCCAACAGGTCATGTTTTCAGGATTTCCCTCAGATGAAACAGCTGTGGTAATTACCAAGGCAATGAAACTGATCAAATCACCTGTGCAAAATAATGGAAATCCTGAAAACATGACCTGTTGGGGATCCATGAGGACTGGAATTGAGAAACACTGGTATAAGCAAAGCCAAGTTATGCTTTCAATATCATACTTTTTTTAGTTTTCTGATTTTTTTTATTTGTGGGAGGAGTTACTTCACTCCATAGACACTCTACACTGTGTTGTGTTCTACCCCATACCAGGTCTTAATTGTAAAGTCAAATGAAGGAACAAATTGCTGCTATTTTTTTTTAAGTGGGGGAAGAACCATTGTGTGGCTCTACCTTTGTGTAGTACCCTCTAGGTACCTAGGCTTTGTTGTTTTGTTAGACAGAGGTTGGATAGCAGCCTGGGATTGAGGCAGGAGTTCACCTTAGAACAGACTGGAAGGTTCTACAGATCAGGGCTTCTGGAGCCATCTCACCCTTCCAGAAACTGGGAACTTTCTGAAAGATGGAGGGGAGGAGGCCCAGGTCTGCATTTTTGAGGGACCTTGGCCAATCCCCAGGCAGAAGGCCGGGCATTGTGACTGAAGATAACCCTTAAACTGGGCAGAGCTTGAGCAGTAGGGGGGGTCAGGTGGAAGAAGGACTGAATGGAAGGCTGGAGTATGGAGCCTTAGTGGGGGCCCCAGGGATGGGAGCCTACCTACAGGCTGGTTGCTAGACAGGAGGATCTCTACTGCCCAAATCTCCCAGAGAGGACATCCTGGGCAGCAAGGAAGGAGACAGCTACCAAAAGGCCTGAATGCAGCTACCAACCCGCCATGCTGACAGAACAGTGTGAGTATTCTACACCCACAGGGCCAGATAAAGTGAGAGGGCGGTCAGGCGCAAGACCCAAGTAGTTTTCATTCACGACTACTGAACTGCTAGATCTCGGAATCCCTTGCCAAGGGATACCCTCAGTGCTGCTGCGTAAAGTGGAGGATTCATCTGGGGTCAAAGGAGGTACACAAAGGGGACTTCAGTGCTCCTTAACAGAGACAGTTGCTATTTTTTGATCCACATTTTGAACAGTATTGTTGCTGAGAAGTTTGTCCTTAAGTTTGCAGTTCCTTGAGAATCTCCTATACAGCTAGACCCCCATACAATTTGTTAACCCTTTGAGGACCAAGGGACGTATTTGTCCCTTGTTTTTAATTGCGTGTATCATCTGATTAAGAACTGAAAACTCTTCTTCTTTTTTTTTTGGTTTGAGTCAAAATATTAGTTCTTATCAACAAACAACAAATGGATCTAGCTTTTTGCCAATTATTTCATGAAATGGCTTAGTTACAGCAACTGAAGTGTACGAACTTTAACAACAAAAAAATTGATTCTTTTGGCATTCCAAAACCCTACGGTCCTCAAAGGGTTAACTCCTTAATAAAAACAACTAAAAACCAGCTCAAGGACTAACTTTGAACGTGCAAGTGTGGAAAATGTGCGTGTTGCCTGGAAGAGCATAGGGGGACCCAAAACAAATCCAGTGACCCTCAAGAGGGTAGTGCAACATCTGTACCACAGGTACAATGGGGATATGTGGGTAACGACAAGTTTCCTTTATGAGTATTTACACAGCCCACATCATACAATTTCAATAGCTGTCTGACATAAAACAGGAGAGGGAGTTAAGAACTATGTTTTACCGAACACCAGAAAACTATTACCAAGATTACATGCCAAACACGGAAAACTTGTTATGACTGCCGTTTAATTTCCCTGAACTTCTATTATGCTCAGCCAGGTTCCTCAGTGTTTTTGACATGATGTATGCAGAAACAGCTATGAGGCACATAATGGTTTCTCACAAGGCAGCCGCAAAAAAGGCTTTCCGATTAAATATTTATTTGATCTATATTCCAATATAGCCTGTTCACCAAGCTTAACGGTTTTCAACTTGAGAATCGCAAAACAGATTCGGTGTCATATGCTTTGGAAATGGTTCTTTTATTAAATCTTGAAGCCATTGGTTTTCCACAGAAGAGCACTAGTCAAGACATTCCAGTGAGAAAAGGCTGCACAGTCATTGTAAAGATGTCTCTTTGAGGTGAGACATGCAATTGAAATCTTCTCTGGTGAATTTTCCCTCAGCTGAAAAAAAAGCAAACTAGTTTATGAAATTCATAGGGAGCTTGGGGATTTTTGATGTAATGAGTTTTACAGTTTCAGAGGCAAATGCTTTGCTAATAATTATGTAACAGTAATTAAATCTGAAAAAGGCTGTACTCTAAGTATGTTGATTTATTGCTGCTCCATAGACATGCTCCTGAAGCGCTCATTGAAGTGTATGCTTCCTCTTTCCAGTTTTCTTTAAATTCTCATAGTACACTGGGTCACAGATGGTCTGAGCTGTGATATTTTCCCTATTAAATTCCTAATAATCTTTTTCTAGGCTCAGTCATGGAAGCTTGGGGATTTCTCATTTTAATTAGAAGGTTTAAGGAGCTAACTCTGTTTGAAATGTCTCCAAAGAGAGATGGGTGCAGGTGATCCCATTCAGCAGAATGACACAATATCCTGGCCAACACCTCATTTCCATATTAGATTAGAGTTGCTTTGGCATAACTCCCAAATCTAATGATGATGCACAGTCAGAGCTGTAAGCAGGAATTTTTTGCCATATAAAAATAAGATTAGTTCAGGATTATATTTTAGGCATAGAATGATTAAGGAGCTTAACCCTCATCTCTCAGAGCAAACGAGTGTTTTTTCTCCTTGTAGATCTGGAAAGTATGGTATGATGTTTTTTTTGGATCTGGCGAGTTAAGATGGGATCACAGGTGACATGCATTTTGATGTTTGATTTGTATCACTTTTTCTGCTCAAAAGGTTCACAGTTAAGTCATACTTGGGATATAATGGTGAGTTTAGGAAGGTTTAGAAGTTACACTGGACATTCAAAGCTACAGTATGTTAGGCCTTTCCTACAGTAAATCATATCTACAGAAAATGTTTGTTTTATTTAATATAGAATAGGGAAAGGCTAGGAACAGTGTCAATTTTCATTGCTGTCTGTGTCCCTATTAGGGGGATTCTAAATTCTTTCCTATCCCAGCTGGCACCTTTAACTATATCACGATTCAGGAATGAGAGGAAATGTCCCCATGGGGTTGCAGACAATAAAATACAACCGATGGAGGTTCTAACACTTGCCCACTCTACAAAAATGTTTCTAATTAATGTCTGAATTAATTTATTCTCTCTATGTGCCAAGTAGCACCAGCTACCAGATATAAAGTGAGCTTAAATCGCCCCAAATTAAAAAAAAAAATGTTTTTGGTAAAATTCTACTGGACACAGCGGATGACAGATCTTTGCACAGGGTCAACCCCGATTCCATGTGTTTACTGTGACCAATCATAGTGATCACATATCACACTCCTTCAAATTGTGTACTATCTGTGATTGGTCACAGTGATCACATGGTACAGACAGGGCCTATCACAGTACAGCTGGGGCCAATCACAACTATCACAATTGTACATAATGGATATGATTGGATGCCATTTTTAAAAATGATTGCTTATAACAGTGTTCATGGCTATTATAAGCAATCATAATGCGAAAAAAATCCTGATCACCTCCCCAGAATAGTTCAGTGTCACTATTGTTAAAACTGCACTGCTCTTATAAAAGATAAAGACAAAAAAATGGTAAAAATGTAAACCAAAAATAAATGTTTCATTTTTATATATATATATATATATATATATATATATATATATATATATATATATATATATATAGATAGATATAAATATATGCAGATTCATGGGTTAATGACACCTTAACTTAAAAAAAGAAATAAAATGTATATATATATATATATATATATATATATATATATATATATACTTTTTTTTTAATTTTTTTAAGGTGTCACTAAACTGATGAACCTGCATTCACTATATCTGGTCTCCCACAGTACACAGAAGATGGAAATGCAATTTTTTTAGTAAATATAATCTGCTAAATACCTTTTCCCATCAGCAGTAAATAATAGTCCTGTAACTTTCATCAGTGTCCAGCCAAGCACCGGTTAAAGCTTGCAGGAGGAGTTTTCATTCTACTCTAACTGTCCTATGAAGCTTCATGACCGACCCCTGACCCTCTCTGGACAGTGCTGATTGGCCCAGTGCCGATCACATGCACCCTCCCAAAAAAAAAAAACCTCTCTAGCAATGCACACCAAACTGAGCATGTTCCCCCTAGCGCTATGTACTAATGTACTATCAGCAAATGGATTGGGGACTGTAGAAGAAGGGGAGGGTCAGAGATGACAGGATCAAACAGCCTTATTAGACAATGTGGAGGATTAACCCCTTAGGTTCCACAGTAAGTATAACAAACATGCTTTACTACATTAACAGACTGATTTTACTGTTGTGGGTTTAGTAACACTTTAAATTATTTAATTTCCCCATTTTCCCAAAAATTTTCCAAAAACTCAACATGCCTCTTCCTAAATACCTTTTGCGTGAATACTGTCCTAATTCTCCTACAGCCTAACTATTTACACTGATTTGGATTATTTTTACCAAAGAAATGTAGCAGCATACATTTTGGTATAAATTTATGAAGGAAGATTGTTTCCAAATTTTTATAACAGAAACAAAGAAAACATGTTTTTTTTTATTTTTTTTTTGTTGTTTATATACAAAAAAAAACTAAAAAAACCCATAAGTGATTAACACCAAAAGAAAGCTCTATCTGTCTCCAAAAATTACAAAAATTTAATTAGGGTACAGTGTCGCATGACTGAGTAATTGTCATTCAAAGTATGAGAGCACGGAATTTTGAAAAATGGCCTGGGCAGGAAGGGGGTAAAAGTGTCCAGTATTGAAGTGGTTAATGTAACTTCTGCAAATTGTGTATTAACGGAGGTTACTGTGTACAGGTGAAACTCGAAAAAGTAAAATATTGTGCAAACGTTCATTTATTTCCGTAATGCAACTTAAAAGGTGAAACTAATATATGAGATAGACTCATTACATGCAAAGCAAGATAGTTCAAGCTGTGATTTGTCATCATTGTGATGATTATGGCTTACAGCTCATGAAAACCCCAAATTCACAATCTCAGAAAATGAGAATATTCCATACAATCAATAAAACACGGATTGTACATAGAACCAAATCGGACCTCTGAAAAGTAGAAGCATGCATATGTACTCAGTACTTGGTTTGGGCCCCTTTTGCAGCAATTACTGCCTCAATGCAGCGTGGCATGGAAGCTATCAGCCTGTGGCACTGCTGAGGTGTTATGGAAGACCAGGATGCTTCAATAGCAGCCTTCAGCTCTTCTGCATTGTTCGGTCTCATGTCTCTCATCTTTCTCTTGGCAATGCCTCATAGATTCTCTATGGGGTTCAGGTCAGGAGAGTTTGCTGGCCAATCAAGCACAGTAATCCCACGATCATTGAACCAGGTTTTGGTGCTTTTGGCAGTGTGGACAGGTGCCAAGTCCTGCTGGAAAATGAAGTCAGCATCCCCATAAAGCTCGTCTGCGGAAGGAAGCATGAAGTGCTCCAAAATCTCCTGGTAGACGGCTGCGTTGACCCTGGACTTAATGAAGCACAGTGGACCAACACCAGCAGATGACATGGCTCCCCAAATCAACACAGACTGTGGAAACTTCACACTGGACTTCAAGCATCTTGCAGTATGTGCTTCTCCATTCTTCCTCCATACTCGGGGTCCTTGTGCCTCTCCATTCTTCCTCCATACTCGGGGTCCTTGGGCCTCTCCATTCTTCCTCCATACTCGTGGTCCTTGGGTCTCTCCATTCTTCCTCCATACTCGGGGGCCTTGTGCCTCTCCATTCTGCCTCCATACTCGGGATCCTCGGGCCTCTCCATTCTTCCTCCATACTCGGGGTCCTTGGGCCTCTCCATTCTTCCTCCATACTCGGGGTCCTTGGGCCTCTCCATTCTTCCTCCATACTCGGGGTCCTTGGTTTCCAAATGAGATGCAAAAAAGTTGCTCTCATCAGAAAAGAGGACTTTGGACCACTGAGCAACAGACCAGGTCTGCTTTTCTTTAGCCCAGGTAAGACCCTTCTGACGTTGTTTGTTGTTCAGGAGCGGCTTGACGATACAACATTTGAAGCCCATGTCCAGAATCCGCCTGTGTGTGGTGGCTCTTGATGCACTGACTCCAGCCTCAGTCCACTCCTTGTGAAAGTCCCCAACACTTTTGAATGGCCTTTTCCTGACAATCCTCTCCAGACTGCGGTCATCCCTGCTGCTTGTGCACCTTTTTCTTCCACACTTTTCCCTTCCACATAACTTTCTATTAATGTGCTTTGATACAGCACTTTGGGAACATCCAACTTCTTTTGCAATTACCTTTTGAGTCTTTCCCTCCTTATGGAGGGTGTCAATGATGGTGTCAGGTCAGCAGTCTTTCCCATGATTGTGATTCCTACTGAACCAGACTGAGAGACCATTTAAAGGCTCAGGAACCCTTTGCAGGTGTATGGCTTAAATAGCTGATTAGAGTGGGACACTTTGAGCCGAGAATATTGCACCTTTTCACAATATACTAATTTTCTGAGATTGTGGATTTGGGGTTTTCATGAGCTGTAAACCATAATCATCACAATTATGACAAATCACAGCTTGAACTATCTTGCTTTGCCTGTAATAAGTCTATATCATTTATTAGTTTCACCTTTTAAGTTGCATTACTGAAATAAATGAACTTTTGCACGATATTCTAATTTTTTGATTTCACCTGTATACGCTCAACACTGCTCAATGGGTTTATGATTACCAGAAGCCACAGAGACTAAGTGAGAGGATCCCTAACAGCCTAAGAAGCAAAGTTCATACCATCAACTGTCTCTCATTTGAACTGACACTGACAGCAGATAAGTCATGGCTGATAAGGAGCCTTATCGTGGCAGCAGCCTGATCCTTATCAACCAGCTATTCTTCCAAAAGAATTTGAATACACAAAACAAATCCAAATATACGAATCATTCTAACATAACAAATATATGATGAAATTCAATGATTAACTTAACAAATGGCTCTGAAATAAAAAATTGTTTCATCATGCACATCTCTAGCTATTCACTTTAGTGAGATTCAGTATAACATTTTCATTTAGGAGCATTTCAGTGAACATCATACGAACAAACCCAGGTTCTGCACATCACCACTGACAATGCAGCATTGTCATCACAGGACAACAAAACACCTCCTTTTCTATAAAACTTGGTGAATATATCCAGTATCCAGTGCAACACTCTTATTATCTCACTAATTATTTCAGAAATGTGTTTCTGAACTTACCTAAAAGTGTTATAGGCTAGTGTATTATCCATTCATTTATACCAATCGGGGGCGGACTGACAACTCATGGGGCCCCCGGGCAATGGGGGATCATGGGGCCCCTGTGTCCTTGCCCAAACTCAAAAAAGCCTAAGAAAAAGGTACTAGGGGCATCTCATGGGGCCCCCTACTGACCCCGGGCCCTCGGGCAGTGCCCGAGTTTCCAAAAGGTCAGTCCGCCCCTGATACCAATATAAGCATGAGGTAAACAATCCATCAATAATACATAAAATATAGAAAGTGCCACATGCTTTTCTTATTGCACCACTCTGGGTTTTTTTTCACAGTACCAAATAGTGTATAGAACACAGTGTTGCAGCGGCTGTCTCTGCCATCATTGCACTGACATGCTGGATCTAGCAACACTGTCTGCCTCCCACAAGCAGGGGAAACAGACAAGCCAAAGGAGTTCTATAAACCTGAGTACTGGCCACATTGCACTGTGGAAGTTGAAGTCCTGGATGGGAGCTATGATGTGGAATCCTATGGATCACTTAACTACAGAGGCATCAAAGAGACAGTGAGAGGGAGGAAAGACTGTATTTCCTGAGCTGCAGACCAAGGAGCCTGCTGTTTGTTGCAAAGAAACCAAAGTGCGTACTCCTGTGCAGGGGCGGACTGACCATTTGGAAACTCGGGCACTGCCCGAGGGCCTGGGGTCAGTAGGGGGCCCCATGAGATGCCCCTGGTACCTTTTTCATAGGCTTTTTTGAGTTTGGGCAAGGACACAGGGGCCCCATGATCCCCTATTGCCCGGGGGTTCCATGAGTTGTCAGTCCGCCCCTGCTCCTGTGTACACATCAGCCGGCCACAAGCCTGCAGTCTTGTGCTGAGGACTGGAGTTGCTTCGGGCAGATCCAGAAGTGAGCTAACATCTGAACAGCAGGACTCCTGTTGCTGTAACACTGGGAATGGTGAGAGGACACTGCTGCCATTAACTTGTTGCTGCTAGCACATTTGTACTGGGCCTCTAACTGTAGTATTTATTGCATGCAGACTTAACTGGGACTGAACGCATGTGCACTACTGTAAAGACTGGGCCCCAACACCAGCCGGCTGAAGAACTAGAGCTAAAGACTATATGCTCAAATAGCTGCATCACAAGGACTTAGCCTATTGTCCATAGTAAGAAGTACCTTTTTAGGGGGTTTCAGGATGAATGGCACCCAAAACGTACATCACACATTTTGCCATGTTCTGGAATCGTGGACAAAAATCGCACCAATCCTGCCTGTGATTCCTAATCACCTAAATGTGAAACGGGGCCTTAGGGTCTGCTTGTACACTAAAAGTATTACTTTTCCATAGTAAGACAGCTGGGAAATACACCAAAGTGTTCATTGCTAAGAAATGTGTTTATTTTGCAATATGTGGGGAATTGTAAATGGCAGCAAAGCACAACATCCTCATTTAAAGCAATGGAAATATTCAAAGTGAAATACTGTACAACGTATTAAATCTGAATATGGAATATAACAGATTTGTAAACGCCCTGCTGTGTCTATTCTCATGTTAAACATATGCAGACAGAAGCTAAAAAGTAAATTTATTGCTTGTAGTTATAAAGAGAAAATAAGAACATACATTATTAATAATATCAAACACCAAAGGATTACAGTGATCCATCCAGGCAAACACATCTTATTCCTACAGGTAGCGATCTATACCTTAAAACATCACTATAAAACCATCAGAACCATATTATCGTTTACAATAGACACACATTCTAAACATTATCTTTTTAATAAACCAATTGGCAAAATTTACATTTAAAACATACACATTTGCAAACTGCAAGCATCAACATTCTTCTGGCTGCCTCTGGGCCAAGCTGCTGTTTAGACTTCTTGGATTGTGCCATATGTTTAGTGATTTCTTTTGTTAAGCTTCCCAAAGAGGTAGCTAGAGGTGTTCAGTCTTGCCAAACGGCTTCTCTGTGAGCAAGGGTGGCTCTGGTGATGTATGGTTATAATACACATTCTCATAAGGTTTTCATAATACACAGAAAAACTGCACCCAGCACTAT